AATTTAATAAGTTCATTAGAAATGGAGAAATATTTCCAAATTGATACAATAATTATTAAAACCAAAGTGGGAAAAATAGTAGTTTTGAAAAGTTAACTGGCCTATGTATTTTTCTCTTTGTTTTCTGAACAGCTTAAAAGAACAAAACCACAATTGGAGAATGCCCAAGTACCCTTGGAATCAGAGGGAAAAGCTTATTCAATAATTTATACAGAGTATTTGCTCAGTGGGGAAATAATAGGCGAGTTAAACTGCTTAACTAAACAACCAGTGCAGTATTCTGCTACTTGCAAATCTTCAGTGGAGGTCAGAACCTTTATCTTACTGTTGTATCCCATTCAGTATCTGATGTCAAACTTAAGATGTTGTTGGTGCTTAGCAAATATCTACAGTGCAGTGGTAATGTATGATTTTTGAAAATAGGAAAGGTACAAGGACAAACTTAATTTACACAATTATATTCACTACATATAATATTATAGCAAAATGGCTTCAAAAAGTGAACTTACCATAACAAAATCAGAATTTAACTAGGAAATCTGGTCACATAAACTGTTTCATAGTGAAACTGGTCATGACATGTTAATTAGCAATACCAATACCAGTTTTAAATGTATAAAAATTTATTGAGATGTGCAGAGTTTGAGACTGGGCAAATGGTTGTTTGAGTGGTTACCTTAATCTAAATACAAGATGTTTTTATTTGTGAATTACACTACAATTTTTATTTTTATAAAAAGAAAAATATATCATAATTGGGAACATAATGAAGGGATAAAATTTATTGCTAGGAAACCTCATCAAAATAGACAAAAATTTGCCTAGACATGACTGAAGGCAAAATCCTCAGGGTGCCAGGGGTGCCCACTGGCCTCATATGAACAACAAAAAAATTACATCTCCCCATGAAAGCATAGGAATAAAGAACTAGGTGCTCTTAAGTCTGTAGGATGAACCATTCTCCAGAAATTATTTTACAGAAAACAGGAGGAGAGAAAACAAGTTAGTGATACCAGACTGGAGAGATAGCTCGTTGGTTAGGAGCACTGACTGCTCTTGCAGAGGATCCAGGTTGATTCCCAGCACCCACATGACAGCTAACAACCATCCATAGCTCCAGTTCCAGGGGATTCAATGCATTCTTCTGACCTCGGCGTGCATTGCACAACACAGGTGCACTTACACACATGAAGGTCATACACTCATACCCATAAAATAAAAAGGCAGCAAAGGAAAATTAGTAAAAATGGGTTTAAGAGATATAAAAGTCAATTAAAATAGCTCTAATTTAAACCAACTATAAAGAGATGGATTTGAGAAAACTTAATATGAACAAAGTATTGAATGTTTTTTATAAGCCAATCTATGAGAGAACTTATTTATTTGCTTGTTTATGCTTATTTTATTTGTATGAGTGCTATGCCTGCATTTATGTAAGTGCACCCATGCCATGCAGTGCCCATGGAAGACAGAAGAGGGTTTCAGATCCCCTGGAACTGGAGTTACCAAAAAGTTGTTAGCCACTATGTGGTTGCTGGGATTCAAACCCTGGTCCTCTACAAGAACAACCAGTGCTCTTAACTGCTGAGCTAATTCTCCACCCCTGAAGAGACAACTTTTTATAACATGGGTGGTTTGCACAGCTTTAAAAATATCATTCTGAAAAAAATCACTGTAAAAGTGAAGGATTTTACCTAATAGAAAAAAATTGCTATATATTGTAGTCATAGAGTAGGTAAGGTTGGGAAGGGTGTGGTACAGGAAGAAATGCAATTTTAGCATAGGCATGTGTTTCTTGCCTTCTTGAAGGAAAGATACTTTGAGAAGCAGAAAAGAGACTATGCGTGCAAGGCATGGCATTGGGCAGAGGGCTTCATCTATTATCTGGATCAAATTGTCAAGGGACAATATGTTCCTTTATTTTTCAGATTAGATAGTGTAGAGCAGGGGAAGAGCACACATAGTGTTGGAGAGGAATTTTAATTAGATTATATTGAGTTGAACATTTGAGAGGATCACAGAGAGTCTAGATATCAGCCACAGGAGATTTAAATGTGAGATATCAAATACTTATATATTTGCACATTCACATACACATATAAAATAATTATCATTTGGAGGCCAATAATTCAGGTAAGTACTGTGTGTAGCTGCCTAGTCTGTCATAGAGCCTTTGAACTGATTTAGATGGTGTATTTAAAATAAGATAATCACATCTATTAAATTTTTAAATATCTCTCTAAGTAATACATAGTAAAATATTCCAAGTGAAATTCTTTGATAACTAGTATTTGAATAAAAACACTAGCTTTCTACTTCAGGCCATTATGAAGTCATGGTGTGCCTAGCACACTCACCATAACCAACTACAAAACTTGATAAAATACATGGGGCAGATTTTTCCATCATGATAAACTGGCAGAGTGTCTTAGCTTGCTTTCATTTGTTATGATAAAAAATGCAGACCAAAACCAACTTGGGGAGGAAAGGGTTTATTTGGCTTACAAGCACAGTCCATCATCAAGGGAAGTCAAAGCAGGACCTCAGGGCAGGAACATGGAGCAGAGGCTATCCAGGATAGCAGCTTACTGGCTTGTTCCTTTGGCCTGTACTCAGCCTGCTTTCTCATATAGCACCTGCCCAGGGGTGGCACTGCCCACAGTGGGCTGGATCCTCCCACATCACTCAACAATCAAGAGAATACCCCACAGATATGGTCACTGGCCTATCCAATAGAGAAAAATTCCTCAGTTGAGGTTCTCTCTAACCATGTGTGTCAAGCTGACAAAGCTATCCAGCACAATTGACCCCTTGTTAACTTGACACACAAACACATTACTTTAAACCCCAACATTTCCATTTCTTATCCCCAAGATCTCATATTAATATAAATGTCACAACACAAAACAATTTTAAAACTCCCACAGTCCCTAAAAATCCAAACACGTAAAAAGTTCAAAATCTCTTTTACAAATCTTTTCAATTGTGGATGCCTGTAAAACCCAAAACAAGTACTGTTTTATTTCAAAAGGGAAGAATCAGACACACTTAAGCAAAACCAAAGTCCAGCAAAGTAGCTCAAGCATGGACATCTGGGATTCACTCATGATCTTCTGGGTTCCAAATGGCTTGGGTGGCTTCATTTCTCTGGCTCCACCATCCACAGCACACACAGCTTGTCTCATAGGCTCAGGCCAGCTCCACTCTACACCTGCCACTGCACTTAGTGGCTGTCCCATTGGCACCTCCAATATCCTGGCGTCTCAACTGAAACTGAGGCTGTACTTTCACCAGTGGGCTCTCCTTGCCTTTCAGGGTGCAGATTCTCAGATTCTCTCCACGGACCCCTTCAAGCCTTCAGTCCCAGAACCGTACAGGAGACCCTTAAACATTACTATGTCCTGCTTCCAGCTTGAAATGGAGGCTCAGGCCACCTCTGGACCATAGCTTCTGTGTGCTGACACTGAAGAAATACTTCCCAGAAGATTTTGCCACAATAATGCTGGTCTCTTGTTACCCACAGCTGATTTTTTCAGCCCCGGCTAACCAGCATCAATTGTCACAGGAAAGCAAAGGTTTCACTTCAATGGTACTAGTCTCTTCTTAATCACAGCTGATTCTTCAGCCCAAGATGACTGGAAACCACAGATTCACCATTCAAAATATCATACAAACAGCCCTGATAATCTTTTCTTTCCTTTGAACATTCATAAGCCAAGCCTCCATTATCTATACCTCTTTCACCATTATCTTCCAAGTTCCTACAGAAGTGATCATTGAACTCCAAGCAATTTTCTGGTCCAAAGTACCACAATTCTCCTATACGTATATAGTCAGGCCTATTACAACATTACCCCACTTCTGGTACTCCATTTCTGTCTTAGTTTGCTTTCATTTTCTGTGATAAAAATACCAGCCAAAATCAACTTGGGGAGGAAAGGGTTTATTTGGCGTAGAAGCACAGTCCATCATCAAGGGAAAGCAAGGCAGAAATTCAGGGCAGGAACCTGGAGCACAGACCATGGAGGATAGCTGCTTATTGACATGCTCCTTTTGTCTATGCTCAGCCTGCTTTCTTATACAAGGCTACTTGCTCAGGGAAGGCACCACCTACAGAGAGGCTGGGCCCTCCCACATCACTCAGTAGTCAATAAAATGCCCCGTAGACATGGCCACAGGCCAGTCTAATGGAGAAAATTCCTCATTTGAGATTCCCTCTATCCAGGTATGTCAAGTTGACAACTAAAGCTATCCAACACACAGGGTTAAGGTTAAGTCTGAAAACCTTGAGAAAGAGAAACTGACTAGGTAAGCTCTTATGCTGGTTAGCTTTCATTGTCAATTTGGCACAACCTAGACTCACCTGGGAAGAAAGTCTTGATGAATTATCTGGTTCAGGTTTGCCTTTGAGCAAGTCTTCGGAGGACTATCTTGATTTCTAATTGACTGAGGAAGACACTGCCAATTGTGGGTCACACTGTTCCTTAAGCAGGGAATCCGGAACAATGTAAGAAAGGAGAAAGCTAGTTGAGAGAAAACAAGCAAGCATACAAAGAAGTATTTATTCTCTCTTTGCTCTTGACTGTGGATGTGATGTGACTACCTCACTGCTTGAGTTCCTGCCTTGACTTCCCCAAAATGATGGACTATAACTTGGAATGGCAAAGTAAATAAACCCTTTCCTCCCCATGTTGATTTTTGACAGAGTATTTTATCAGAGCAACAGAAATGAACCCAGGATAGTCCTACCTGCACCCAGATTCCCTGCCTAATACTGTTTTCCTGTCATGTTGCAGCAAGTAAAGATCTCTGCAGTTGTGCAGTTGTATGCAATAAAATGGCTGGCATCTGCTCAGCACAGAGCAGATGTCACACAGACAGAAACCTGTGGAGTCTATGTACAATTTCTCCACGTGTCCTTAGCAAAAGATGTTCACATGCACAGGATGATATAAAATTAGACTCACTATATTGTTGAGAATGAAGTAGGTATGTTAGTAGTACATTAGTAGTCAAGAAATGCCACCAGGTGCAGTGATACCTGCCTATAATCCTAGCATGTGGGAGTTAGAGGCAGAACGATCAATGTAAATTCAAAGTCAGTCTGGTCTACATAGCAAGCTCTAGGCCAGCCAGAGTTACAAAGCAAAACCCTTTCTCAAAGAAAACAGAATAAAAAAGTGCCAAGGATTAAGGACTTTTAAGGTTAAGTCTTTCCAGAAAGGAGAAACTTCTTAAAACCACAACTATCTAACTGAAGGACCAGAAAGAATAGATCTTATAAGTAAAAATCATGCCATAAATTA